CGCGTGCGCTCGCCAGACAGACAGAGAGAGACAGAGAGACAGAAAGCGAGAAATCACCCCCCAGGGGGGATGGTCACGCCGCAATCCCTTCTCCTCCATTCTCCTCTCGGGATCTTGGGCACGCACGCACACACACCCGGCGTGAGTTTTAAGCCACCGGGTCCGGGACACGAACCGCGGTCGACTACGTGGGAGTCCAGCGACATAGCCATTACGCTAACTGCTGGTTCCCCCGGCGTGAGTTTTAAGCCACCGGGTCCAGGACGCGAACTGTGGTCGACTACGTGGGAGTCCAGCAACATAGCCATTGCACTAACTGCTGGTTACCCCTATTACTATATCTTCAGTGTCTCTTGGCTCAGCTTACCTTTTCAGCCTCATCTTCTATGTCTTAGTATAAGTACAGCTGGCAATCATGACATGTTGATCTTCTCAGGGATATTCCTATTTGCATGGAAAGCTCTTTCTTTGCCTAAAAATCTTTTGTTGAGTCTTAAAACTCCAGTACAAATAGCATCTTCTTGAGTAATTCTTCCCTTCTTTCCTAGAAAGTTAATCACTGTCTCCTGTATCCCCTAATGTTTATATTTTTGTTATAGCATTTACTATACGACATTTTATCTATTTAGACAACTGTTTTATTTTCTTTTAAAAATTTGCCATAGGGTGCATGCACTTGCTGGAGACAGGGAGAGAGAGAAAGTGAGAAAGCCTCCCCCTCCCAAGGGGGCATGACAATACCACAATCCCTTCTCCATTCTCCTCTTGGGATTTTGGGCATGGATATACAAGTACAGGGTGTGTTTTTCAAGCTGCTAAGTCTGAGAGTCAAGCCGTGCAGTTAGCCATGCCATCTGGCTGACTTTTCAAGTATTTTCTTATATAGTGTAAGTTCCTAGAATTCAGGGATCACATTTATCTTAATTTTTTTTTTAATTACAGGACATGTACACTCACTGGAGAGAGGCAGAGAGAGATATGTAAAGAGGGAATATGAGAAATCATTCCCTGGGGGATGGCCACACTGTAGCCCTTTCTCCTCCATTCTCCTCTTGACATTTTGGGCACACATGCATGCACTTACTTGCTCCCCACATGTTTTTCAAGTTTCTGGGTCCTAGACTCCAACTTTGCAGCCAACCAGTGAGATCCCATGGCCTTAACCTCTGCACCACCTGCTGGCCCTCACTTTTGTCTTGCAGTGCCAATATCCCACACAATACATAGAACTTAGTACTCAATATGTGATTCAGGGACAAGTGAATGAAGTGGTAATTAATAATGTAACTGTAGATGTCAATTATATCATTATTTGATACATACAATATATCAATATCTGGTATCTGTAAGACGAGATGTGTTCGTGATAAAGTCTCTAACCTAGAACATAACTTGACTTTATTTATAATTTTTTTTTTCTTTTTGTACTTGTTTAGAATTCAAAGCATCGTAAATTGAAAAAGATCCAGAAATTTACAGGTTAGAAAGATCCTATCTTTTATTTTTCAACTCAAGGCTAATGACAGATTAACTATGCGTCTGCTTTTAAACTCTAGCCTTAAAGAGCAGGGAAGGGGAGGGAGCTTGAAAGAGAGGATGTAAATGAAGTGTGCTTATTTATTTATTTTTTAAGAGAGATTTTTTGCTATAGGATGTGTATGCTCACTGGAGAGACAGACAGAAAGCAAGAAATCACCCCCAGGGGTGATGGCCACGCCACAGTCCCTTCTCTTCTATTCTCCTCTCGGGATTTTGGGCACTCACACACATGCTCCTGGCATGAGTTTTTTATGTTGCCAGGTTCAGGACTTGAACTGCGGTTGACTACATGGGAGTCCGGTGACATAACCATTACACCATCTGCTGGTCCCTGCAGTGTGCTTATTATTCCTAGCATCTCCCCTTCCAAAGAAAAGAGATGTTAACAACTCCATAATTCTTTTGAAGTTTCCTTTGCTTATCTCCTTTTCTGTAAAGCTCAAAATAATAGGAAAGAAAGTTGGTAAGATTGGAGAATAGAAAAGTGTAACTACCACAAGCATGGCGAGAAAAGTTTCAGTACCTCTAGATCCCATAGATACTGGATAGACTCCTTTGGAAGAAAAGATACGTATTATGACCTTTGTTTCCCCCTCTCCAACTGCTTTGTTACCATGATTACTCCTGCCCTTTCCAATGCTTTACATTTACTAGAAAATTAGGACAGCATAGCATAGTTAAAAAACAAAAACAACAAAACTTGAGAACTAAGTTAAGTCTGAGATCTATCACCAATTAGCTTTAAGATCTTGAGCATGACTTCGTTTTTGTTTTCTTATTCACAAAATGAAGGGGTTGAACTAAACGGCATCAATAGTCAGGATGCTAATAGATTCTTTACTCTTACTCCCAGTTTCACAGTGGGAAGAAAACCTCGAAATGAATTGCATTGAAGCTAACCTGACATGGTGAGTAAAGTCTGTCTTCAACCTATTCCTTCTCTCTTCAGATAAACTATTTAAAAGATTGGAGCAAAATACCTGGAACTTGGTTTCACTTCGTTCACTATGATAGCTATCTGATTTCTAAGTTAAATCTCTCTTATTGATTTCCTTACTGGCACTTTAATGACCTTGACATACTGTGTTGCATCTAGTATTTCAGCACTCCCTGTGAGCTGGGCCCAGGAATATATACTCTGGTCAATGGACAGGAGTCTTCAACAGATCTTCAAACATCTGGAAAGTGCAAGGTCAGAGAATATAGTTCCTGGGTAGGGAATTAAAGGAATAGACTTCTTAAGAGGGAGAAAGAAGTGGGGAGGGAGGGAGAGAAACAGAGAGAATAGTTTTGGCATGTTAAAAGAAAAAAAACACCCAATTTAACTGAGTGGAGTTTTAACTGAACAAATCTTAATATGATTCAAATTGGGCAGTTGTCCCCAGTCAACTTCCAGAAAACTCTGTGTAGTGCTTTTTATAAAAAAATATTTATTTATTTAATTCCCTTTATTATTATTTTTTAATTTGACCAGACAAAGACAAAGAGAGAGAGAAAGGGAAAGCAAGGAAGCAAGCCACCAGGTCCAGGAGTTGAACCATAGATGACCATGTGGGAATCTAGTGCCTTTATCCACCACACTACCTGCCGGCTCCCATACTCCATGTAGCTTTGTGGTCATACTGTATTTAAGTTCCAGAAAAGGAAAGTGATGTGTACAGGAATGGGAAAGTGATGTACAAAAACAAAAGTGAAGGAGATAGAGAAACAATTTGAGTTGGTTACATTCCAAGGTTTGTCTGCATTAACACAGTTTAAAAGGTGGGATGCCTGTGATTGACTGAAGCCTAGCTGCTGTGATTGCCTGTAACCTAGCAAGCAAGAAAAAAAAAATGGAGTTGCAGTTTGTTTATGGAAAGCAATCAGGTGTATGGAGGCTTTTCTGATATTTTTTAACAGGCATTAGGGAAAGTTCTGGGTTCAAACTGGTCTAAGGAACATTTCTGACTAGAATGGAAGCAGTTTCTTCTTTTTGTCCTGGTGGAATCATTCTTTTCATAAGTAATTAATGTTGGGGAAAGCACCTTTAATTTTTCTTCTTGATTTTCCCTCAGACTGAAACTATTTTGTATTTGAAATGGCCACTCTCTTTCCTTCTTCAAAAAAAATGGAAACTTTTCTTTTTATTTCTTAGATCAAATCTTATGGAACTTGGTTTGCATGAATCACAGGAGATGATTTCTTCCTCTACATCCTCTGACCTTGTGGCTCAGGAGGCTGTTCTACCATGCTGTGACTGTAAGAAGGAAGAGCATTCTAGTGACAACAACATCTCTTCTGGATCATCAAGTAACAACTCCAGTCTATCTCACCTTCCTGTCTTTTCTGAAGGAACAACCTGGAAATTCCAGAGCTGTAGTTTACCTATTTCCCCCCAAAAGCAATCATCTATGTCCAGGAACCAAGGTATATCCTTGCCTCAGCTGTCAGAGTCTGAGAAATCAAAACCTTTCCAGGATTTGGCAGCTCTTTCACCTTTACAATCTCAAAGCTCTTTTCTTAACTCTATTTTTGAGCAAGATAAAGCAAAAAATGAGAGGAAGAGCAAGAGTCCATTGACATTAAGTCATAGGCCAAATTCTGTTTTGAGGAAGAAACCACAACACTCAGGGTGGGCTCCAATCCAGCTCTCTCCTTTGGCTAGAGGGGAACTAGAAGGACATATGTCTTGGAAGGTTTGTACTTTGCGGAAACAAGTAGTGCCTCTGCCTGTGAGGGAATCATGGTCAATGCTGAATTATTTAATTGAAGTACAAGGAGGAATCCCGGAGCCAGAGAAACCCCAAACTCATTCATCTATGCCCATACATCAAAGTTCAGAGCAGAATACCAACAATAAATCCCAAGACCTTCCATCATTTCAGCTCCATGTGAACATTGGAGTGGAATCTGGACTAAATAGGACAGAAACAAAAATTTCACAATCACTTATCTCAGGTAAGCAGTTACAACCTGAAGATGACCCTCAAGTCCTTGAATCTAAGCCTTTAGTTACATCAATAGACACTCTACATCCTAGAAGTTTAGGAGTTAACATAATTCAAGAGGAAACCACTTTACTGAAGAAGAACCCCAAACATGTGCTAGAGCTTAGTATAGAGCAGAGGGTCACAGGTCTTCCAGAAAAAAAGATAGAGCAGCATAAGACACCTGTGACTAATGTGGAATTGACCCCAATGCTACCATATCAAGTCACAGAGAGCATAAAGGTAACTCCATTGGCACTGCTTCAGGTTATGGACTCAATGGGGATGATTCCTGAACCACATGCAGAAGTGATAGAATCTGCAGATTCATTCCCACAGCCACCAAATCACATTGTGATACCAACAGAATCCATGGAAACAAGGAATGTAATCCCTCAACCACCAAATCAAGTCAATGAATCAGTGGTGGTAGCTCCAAACTCTTGGCACCAAGTTATGAAATCAAGACTATTGAATCAAGTTACAGATAATGGGATGGTAACTTCTGTAGCACTGCATCAAGCCATGGATTCTATGGGGATTATTAACAAATCACAACCACATATCATAGAATCAATGAAAACGACCCCTATGCCACAATATCAAGGAAAGGAGTCAGTAAAGATGAACACATTAATAGACCATCAAGCTATAAAACCAGGAAAGATGAGTCCAAGGCTACAATATGCAGTCAGGGAAACTGTGGAAATGACCCCAGGGCCACAGCATAAAGTCATGGAATCAGTGGACATGACTTCAAGGTCACAAAGTCAAGTTCTAGAGCAAGTAAAGATTATTCCAGGGCCAATGCATCAAAACACGAAACCACTGGAAATGATCTCAACATCATTGCATCAAACCATGGATTCCATGAAAGTAACCCCAGTGGCACTATCACAAGCCATGGATCTCGTGGGGATAATTCCACCACCACAGCTGCATATTATAGAACAGGGGGGTTTGGCCCCAGATTTACAGTCTCATATTGTACATATGACCCCACCAGGTAATTTGACTTCTTCCTTTAGCTCCCTTACAAGTGTTGCTCCACTAGGAGTTGTAGAATCTGTGGGTTTTCCTCCAAAACCACCACCTAAAGTCATGGAGTCAGCAGGGATGATTCTAACACCACCACATCAATCTACATGCTGTCTACAGGTAAGCCCAATAGCATCGGGGTCACTTATAGGAATGACCAGAACACCGCAGTCACAAGCTGTACAAACTCAGGATTTGACCCCACAATCAATATCTCAAGTCAAGAAATCTCTGGAATTAACTCCTGGAATTCCAGTTCCAGTGTTAGACTCTTCAGCGATGACTCTACAACCACATCACCAAGGCACAGAGCCTGTGGGATTAATCCCAGGACCACCTCATCAAGTCATGGATTCTTTAGGGTTAACACCATGGCATCAAATACAGGAATATTCAAAGATGAGCCCAAGGCAAAGCCAAAAAGTTACAGAAACTATAGGACTGACCTCTGATGCATGGTTACAAATGAAGGAATCTTCAGAGTTGGCACAGTCACATCAAATGATGGATTCTTTAGGAATAATCCTAAAGTCTCCAGGTCAAAGTACAGAATCTATAGGAATGAGCCCAAAGCCACCGCATCAGGTCACAGAATCTGTAATAATGACAAATACATCACTATTTCAAGATATGAAATATACGAAGGTGAAGCCAGGGCCAAAAGCCAAGGTTATGGATTCTATGAAGCTATCCTCAGGATTGCAAAATGTAAAACCTGAGAACCTGACTCTGGGACCAAGCTTGCAAAGTATGAAACCTGCAGATATAGCCACAGGTTCAGTATCACAAGTTATGAAATATGGGCAGGTGATTCCAACTGTGAACTCTGTAGACACATCCCCAGAACTTCGATTGCAGAGTGTGAAATCTGAGGAGTCAGCCCCTATACCACAGATGCAAAGTGGGAAATCTGTGCAGTCAGGTATAGGATTACAACTTCCAGGTATGAAATCTATTCAATTGACCCTAGGGTCACAACTGCAAAGTGTAAAATCTGCTGAGTTAGCCTCAGCACCACAGTTGCAAGGTAAAATATCTATAGATTTGACTCCTAGTTCACAGTCACAAGATACAGAATATGTTCATTTGACCCTACCACCAGAGTTTCAAGGTGCAAAAGCTGTGGAGCTGACCCTAAATCCACCACTGGAAGATGTAAAATCTGTGGAGTTGGCTCCAAAGCCCTGCTTAAAAAATAGTAGATCTGAGAAGACAGCCCCTGCACTATTGCTTGAAGACATAAAAACTCCTCAAATGGTAGAATGTAGGTTAATTCCTGAGACAGAGGAGCAAATTATGAAATATGAGGAATCAATCCCAGTGACACACCTTACAGCAGCACAATCTGCGGAGATGAACTTTAAACCAGATAATCAAGCCACAGAACCTGAAGAATTGACTCCATGGCATCAACCCTCAGAATCTTTAGGGTTGCTCTCAGAGCCAGGATATCCAGGAACAGAAGCAAAGCTGAATTCTGACACTTGTCACCAATTGGAAGAATCTGTTGGATTGATACCATCATTTTTAGGAATTACCCCAGGATCACTGAGCCAAACTTCAGAAACTATGGAGATGAGCTCAGTGTCATTCCAAGGTACTCCTGAGACAATGACTCAACTTGTAAAAACAATGGGGGAGACTCCAGAGTCACAATACCCAACAAAAGAATCTCTGGATTTGGTACCAGGATCAGAGATGCAAAATGTAAAATCAGAGATGTTAAACCCAGAGCCACAGCCCCAAGGTACTGAACCATATTCAAAAGTTACTGAGTTGTCAGAAATACCCCTAATGTCAGAATATGAAGACACAGAAGCTGTGGGGTTGGTATTGCCTCAGGTTGATAAGACCCAGGGGGCTATTCCAGTACCTTTAAGTTCAGAAACAGGATCTTCAGAGTTGGGTCTAGGATCAGGGATGCAATATGAGAAATCAGAGCCACTACCTAAAAATTTGCAATCTGTGGAGTTAACCTCTGAGTCATCCCCATTAATAGAAGGATCTAAAAAGTTAACCACAGAACCAAAGCTATATGTTATGGACTTGACCCCAGGGCCACAGCTCCAGGGAGTGAAGTCTAGTCAATTGGATCCAGAACCACAGTTGCAAGATGTGAAATATGTGAATTTAATCCAACCATCAACTACAGGAGTGGTAGAATTTGAGAAGCTGACACCAGAGCCAGTGCTACAAAGTACATTATTGGAGGAATTGTCTAAGGAGGAAAAGACCCAAGGTGTGAAATCTGTGGATTTAATAGGCCCTTTGGAGCCAAGTGTCAAATCTCCTGTACTGACCTCAACGCCACAGTTGCAGAGTGTCAGCTTTTCAAAGTTGTCACCAGAGCCAATTCATCAAGGAGAAAACTCTACAGATTTAATCTCAAGACCCCTGCATTATGGTGTGAAACCTGATGAATTGATCCCAGATTCTCTAATACAAGAAATAAAATTGTCAGATCTTATCCGAGAGTCAAAGTATCCAAGTGTCAAATCTATACAGTTGACTCCAGAACCAAAACCTCCAGGTCTGAAATTTGTGGAACTAAACCAAGGACCATGTTTACAAGATATCAGATTTTCTGATTTTATCTCAGAGCCAAAGAATCAAAGTTTCAAATATATGCAGTTGAAACCAGGAGCTCAGCTTCAAAATAAAAAATCTTTAGAGTTTGTACCAGAGTCATCTTTGCCGTTAAACCAAGGACCACAGGTTAAAGACATGACGTCTGTTCTGTCTACTGAAGGGTCAGAGCCTCATAGCGTGAAATCTGTGAAATCAACCTTAGGAATACAATTTCAAGGTGTGAAATCTAAGGAAGTAAATCTAGGGCCACAGCAAAAACAAATCAAAATTTCTGAATTGACATCAGAGCCAAACCTTCAAGGTATCAAATTTGGGAAGCAAACCCCAGGAACAATGTTTCATGGAGTAAATTCTGTGGTAGTGACTCCAGAATTAGAGCTGCAAGACTCCAAATTAGCAAAGATGTCTCCACAGTTTCAGGATATGAGAGAGGTGAGGCTTACCCCAGGGCCATGGCTAAATGAAGTCAAATTTTTTGATTTGACACCAGGAACACAACCTCAAGGTGTTAAATCTTCAGAGTTAAACTTAGGGCCACAGCTACAATGCACAAATTTTTTTGAGTCGATTCCAGGGTCGGAGAGGCAAGAGGTAACATCTGTGAACTTGACAGTAGGGCCAGAGGGGCAAGGTATTAAACCTGAGTTGTTAGTGCCAGAGCCACTGTTCCAAGGTGTAAATTATGTGGTAAATCAAATGCCATGCTTAGAAAGCGAATTAATTGCAGAGTCACAGAAACTAGATGTAGAATCTATGGAGTTGACTCCTGGGCCACAATTGCCAAGTGTAAACCATTGCGAGTTGACCAAAAGACCACAGCTACAAGGTATGAAATCTTCTGAACTGATCCAAGGACCACAGTTGCAAGATGTAAAATCTATGGAATGTACCTCGGTCTCAAAGCTTCAAGGTTTAAAATCTGAGGAGCCAAACTTAGGGCCACATTTAGAAGATACTGTATCTATGGATTTAACTCCAGGACCACATTTGAGAAGTATCAAATCTGTGCCATTAATGCCAAAGCCAAAGCTTGGATATGGCAGCTCTGTGCTGTTAACCCCAGGGCTACTGGCAGAAGATATAAACCCTGGGGAGCTGACCTCAGGCTCAGAACTACAAGGTTTAAAATCAGATTTGCCAACCTCAGGATCACAGTTGGAGGACATGAAATCTGTAGCCTCAACTCCAGGACCATGTCTGGGAGGTATGAAATTTAATGAGACAATTCCAGGTTCACAAATGGAAGATATAAAATCTGTGGAGATAACCTTGCAGCCACAGAAAAATGTCAAATCTGTGGAATTCGCCCCTGATTCCAAGGTTCAAGGTATGAAATTTGTGGAGTTCCCAGGTACACAGCTGCAAGATTTGAAAACTGTGAAATTTAAATGTGGACCAAAGATGCAAGGTGAGAATTCTGCAGCATTTGTACCAGGACCATTGCTTCAAGTTGTTAAATCTATGGTGCTTCAAGGGCCTCAAGTACAAGTTGTTAATCCTGAGGAGTTGACTTCAGAGCCACAGATGCAAGACATGAAATTTGTGGGGAATATGCCATGTTTAGAACTTCGAAGTTTAAAACCTGTAAAGGAGACTCTAGATCCACAACTGCAATATGTAAAATCTATAAAGTTAATCCCAAGGCTAAAGAGGCACATAGAAAAATCTGTGAAAACAACTAGAAGACAAAAGTTTCAAGGAGTAAAATCTGTATGTTTATCTCCAGAACAACAGTTTCAAGGGATGGCACCTGTGGCTTTCACTCCTGAGCCTGAACAGGATGGGCAGATATCTGTAAACTCACCAGAGCAGCAACATGTGAATTTAGAACAATTAAAGAGAGGTTCTGAGTCAGTAGATGTAATGTCTTTGGAGTTAATTCCTAAGCCAAAATCTAAAGGTGTAAACTCTACAGACTTCAAATCTGAGGTACAGTTGAAAAGTATGAAATCATTTGAATTGACTCCAGAACCAAATATTCAAGATGTGAAAGCTAAAGAGTTCACATGTCAACCACAGTTGCAAAGTGTGAAATCCCCCAAGTCAATTCCAGGACCACAATTGCACCAAATGAAATCTTTGGAGTCAACTTCAGAGCCACAGCTTCAAGGTGTGAAAACTATGGCATTAAACCAAGATTCAGAGTTTGGAAGGAGAAAATCTGTGCAATGGATACCAGGACCTGAGTTCCAAGGTATGGAACCTGTAGAATTAAATCTCAGATCACAATCTCAAGATATCAAACCTTCAGAGCTAAAAATTCCCATACAGGTACAAGATGTGAAGCTATCTGAATTGACTCTAGGGTCCAAACTTCAAGATACAAAATCTATAGACATTAACCTTAGGTCACAGTTGCCATGTGTGAAAACCCCAGAATCACAACTGCAAAAAGAGAAAATGTTGGCATCAATCTCAGAGCCTCAACTTCCAGGTATGGAAACTGTGGAGTTAAACCAAGAGTCAAACTTTAGAGGTACGAAATCTGTGCAGTGGATACCTGGGCCTGAATTCCAAAGAGTGAGATCTGTGGGGTTAAATGATGGGTCACAATCTCAAGATATCAAAGCTTCAGCATTAAAACCTTCGATAAAATTAGGAGGTGTGAAGTCATCTGAATTGACTCTAGGGTCAAAACTTCAAGGTGCAAAAGACATGAAGTTGAATCTTCGGCCACAGATCCAGTCTGTGAAAATCCTTGAGGTGTCCCCAGGACCACAGATACAAAAAGGGAAAATTTTGGCATCATCATCATCTGAGCCACAATTTCCAGGTGTGAAAATTGTGGAGTTAAACAAAGAGCCAGAGCTTAGACGTATGAAATCTGTTCAATGGATTCCAGGACCTAAGTTCCAAGGTATGAAATCTGTGTTAAACCTTGGGTCACAATCTAAAGGTGTCACAGTTGTACAGTTGAAATCTTCAATACAGTTAAGAGACACAAAGTCAACTGTATTGACTCCAACACCAAAGCTCCAAGGTATACAACCTTTGGCATCACTTCAGGATGATCAGACTCAAGGGTTCAAATTTATTGACTCGAAATCCGGGCTACAGTTGAAAAGTATGAAACCAAGTGATAAAACTGTGGAGCTGAACTCCTCACTACACTTGGAAAGTATGAAAACAACTGAATCACCTCCTCAGACAAAGCTTCAAAGTATGAATTTCAAGTTCAACTCTGGGCCACAGTGGCAAGATGTAAAATCTTCAAAGTTGACGCTTGAGACAAAGATCCGAGATAAGAAATTTTCTAGTTTACCCCAAAGCTCACAGTTGAAAGGTATACCATTTTCTGATTTGACCAAGATTCAAGGTGTCAAATCTACAGACTTTAAACACAGGCTACAGCTGCAAGGTGTAAAATCTTCTGAGTTGATACCGATGGCAAAGCTTCAAAAAGTTAAGTCAGTGAAATTCAACTCAGGCCCACAGTTGCAAGACGTGAAATCTTCTAGGCTGATTACAGGTGTAAAGCTTCAAGATGTAAGATCTATGGATTTCAGTTCTGGACCATACTTACAAGATGTGAAACCTGAAGTGATTCCAGGGGAAAAGTTTCAAGATATGAAATCTATAGAATCTAAACCTAATCTAAAGTTACATGGAGAGAAATCTGATATGATCCTGGGGAGGAAATTTCAAGATATGAAATCTGTAGAACTGAACTCAGAACCACAAAATATTGAGTCTTCTAAGCTGATCATGCATATACAGCTTCAAGATATAAAATCTAAGGAGTTTGGTTCTAGACCACACTTTCAAGATATAAAGTCTTCTGAGGTCATCCCACAGACAGAGCTTCAAGGTGTTAAATCAGTGAACTTTAACTCTGGGCCACAGGTACAAAGTGAACAATCTTCTGAGTTGATTCAAGAAACAAAGCTTCAAGATGGGAAATCTGTGGTGGTCAACTCGGGCCCACAGCTGCAAGATATGAACTATTCAAATTTGGTCCTGGGAACAAAGCTACAAGATGTAAAATCTATGGAGTTCAGTTCTAGACCATATTCACAGAGTGTGAAATCTTCTGAAGTGGCCCCAGAAACAGAATTTCAAAAAATGAAATCTGTGGGGCTCATGCCTGGGGAAATATGGAAAGAAGTAAAATCCTTTGAATTGACTCTAACTAAGGTACAAGATAGGAAATCTTTGGGGTTCAACTCAGCCCCACAGATAAAAGATAAGAAATTATCTATGTTTACACCTGGGATACACCTTAAATGTGTAAAATCTATGGATTTCAATCCTGGAGAAAAGTTACAAGGAGTGAAATCTGAGTTGATAAATCATCAAACAATCAACTCTCCAGAGGTCAACTATGGCCGAGAATTTCAGCTTCCAAAAATCTCTGAGTTAGCCTTGAAATCAAAAAGTCACTGTGTGGGACCTTCTGAGGTCAAAGTTGGAAAGCAGCAAGGAGATGAGAAATCTACTGAATTGAATCCATGGCCAGAGCTTCAAAGTGTTAAATGTATAACATTCAACTCTGGGTCACATTTGCAGCATGTAACATCTTCAGAATTAGGCACAAGGACAAATCTTCAAGATGCAAAATCAATGGAATTGAAATCTGAGCAACAGTTACAAGGTGTGAAATCTGAGTTGTGCTTAGGAACAAAGCTTCCTAGCACACCATCTTTAGAGTTCAATGTGGGGCCACAGTTGCAAGGGATAAAATCTTCTGAGTTAGGCACAGAGAAAAAGCTTTCAGAAGACCAATCTCTACAAATCAAGCATGAGCCTAAATCTCGAGGCAAGAAATCTCCTGAACTGAATTCTGGACCAGAGCTTCAAGGTACTAAATCTAATAATGTGTTTTGGCCTGGATCACAGTCCCAAAGCACGGATTCTTCTGCAACCATTCCAGGGCCTGAACTTCAGTGTGTGAATTCTGCTGGGTACAGCCCAGAACCACATTTGCCAGGTTTGAGCCCTTCTGTATCTGTTCCAGGGCCAACGCTTCAGTGTGCGAATTCTACTAGATGCAACCCCAGGCCACATTTGCAAGGTGTGAATTCTGCATCTGTTCCAGGACCACAGCTTCAGTGTGTAAATTCTGTTAGATGCAACCCTGGGTCACATTTGCAAGGTATGAATTCTTCTGCATCCATTCCAGGGCCAGAACCTCAGTGTGTAAATTCTGTTGGGTGCAATCCTGGGCCACATTTGCAAGATGTGAGTTCTTCTGCATCCATCCCAGGGCCACAGCTTCAGTGTGAAAATTCTATTGGATGCAACTCTGGGCCACATTTGCAAGATGTGAGTTCTGCACCCATTCCAGGGCCACAACTTCAATGTGAAAATCTGGTTGGATGCAACCCTGGGTCACATTTGCAAGGTATGAATTCTTCTGCATCCATTCCAGGGTCAGAACTTCAGTGTGTAAATTCTGCTGGTTGCAATCCTGGCCCACATTTGCAAGATGTGAGTTCTTCTGCATCCATCCCGGGGCCACAGCTTCAGTGTGAAAATTCTATTGAGTGCAACTCTGGGCTAGGTTTGCAAGATGTGAATTATTCTGCATCCATTCCAGGGCCAGAACCTCAGTGTGTAAATCCTGTTGGGTGCAATCCTGGGTTGCATTTGCAAGATATGAGTTCTGCATCTATTCCAGGGCCACGGCTTCAGTGTGGAAATTTTGTTGGGGGTAACCCTAGGCCACATTTGCAAACTGTGAATTTTTCTGCATCCATTCTAGGACCAAAAATTCAGTGTGTAAATTCTGTTGGTTGCAACTCTGGGTTGCATTTGCAAGATGTGAATTATTCTGCATCCATTCCAGGACCAGAACTTCAGTGTGCAAATTCTGTTGGGTCCAATCGAGGATCACATTTACAATGTTTGAGTTCGTATGCATCTATTTTAGAGACTCAGACTCAGTGCAGAAATTTTGTTGGATGTAACTCTGGGCAGCATTTTCAAGGTGTGAGTTCTTCGATATCCATTTTAGGACCAAAACTTCAGTGTGTAAATTCGGTTGGGTGCAACCCGGGACCACATTTGCAGGGTGTGAATTCTTCTGTGTCCATTCCAGGGCCAGAACCCCAGTGTGTAAATTCTGTTGGGTGTAACCCTGAGCTTCATTTGCAAGGTGTGAATTCTTCTGCATCTATTCCAGGGCCACAGCTTCAGTGTGGAAATTCTGTTGGGTACAAACCTGAGTCACACTTGGAAAGTGTGAATTCTTCTGCACCTATTCTGGGATCAAAACTTCAGTGTGTGAATTCTGTTGGGTGCAACTGTGGGCTGCATTTGCAAGATGTGAATTCTTCTGTATCCATTCCAGGGCCACAGCTTCAGTGTGGAAATTCTGTTGGGTGCAACCCTGGGTTGCATTTGCAAGGTGTGAATGCTGTATCCATTCCAGAACTAAAACTTCAGTGTATAAATTCTATTGAGTGCAATCCTGGGCCACATTTGCAAGATGTGAATTCTTCTGAGTCTATTCCAGTGTCCAAACATCAGTGTGTAAATTCTGTTGTATGCAACCCTTGGCTAGGGTTGCAAGGTGGGAAATCTTCTGAGTTAACTCCAGGGAGAAAGTTTCAAGGAGTTCAATTTTTGGAGAAACACCTTGAGTCACAGCAACAAGTTTTGCAACCTGTGTTCACTTTGGGTCCTCAGTTAAATGACATGAAATCTATGTTATTTTTACCAGAGCCACTGCTTGAAAATGTAAAGTTTGTGGAGATGAACAAACAGCCATTGTATAGTAGTGCACATGTTGTGAAATTGATTTCAGACTCTGAGCAGCAGAACTTGAAATGTGAAGTGTTTGCCCTAAAGCCAGGTTTTCAAAAAGTGAAGTCTGTGGAGCTAAATCTAGAACCACATTCTCAAGGTACAAATTCTGAATTATCTTCACACCTCAGGCAGCATAATGCAAGATCTGCAGTACTTGCACCAGAGCCATATGTTCACGATGTGAACTCTCTGGAGTTAAAATCAGGGCCACAATATCAAGATGTAAATTCAAAACAGTTAACTTCTTGCCTCAGGCGGAAATCTACAGAGTTTGTATCAGAGCCATGTTCTCAAGATGTAAAATCTATGAAGTCAAACCTACAGCTGCAACCACAAAGTTCTTCAGGGTTGACATCATGCCTCAGGTCACAATATGTTAAATCTGTAGTCTTGGCACCAGAATCATGTTTTCAAGATGTCAAACCTACGGAGCTGATGCCAGGGTCCCCAAAACAGGGTATAAATTGTCAAGAGTTCACGTCAATATGGCAAGGTGTGAAATCAGTGTTGTTGGCATCAGAGCCAACTAGGAAGTTCTTACCAGGTCCAGTGTTGACCAGTGTTAAATTTTCAAATTTGTCTCCAGAATCACAGCAGCAAGCTGTGAAATCTTTTGAGTTTACTCCAAAGCCAAAGTTGCAAACTGCAAAACATGTTAATTTGTCTTCAATGTCTTTGCAGCATACTACAGAATCTATTGAGTTAGTACCAGGGCTTCAAAGAATGAAATTTGAGGAGCTAACTCCAGAAACATGTCATCAAACCACAAAAGCCTCTGAAAGTGTTTCTAGATCAGTACAAAATGCAGAAGTGATCCTGAAGGCAAGACAACAAGTCCCTAAATCTGTAAATTTGACTACAATACCAATTTATCAAGCCAAAGAATCTTTAGAAAAGGCACAAGGGTTGCCACACAAAGGCATAGAAACTGTAGAAAAATCTGTGGTATTGACTCCAAAGCCAAGAGGTAAAGCTGTAGGATCTTCAGGGACACCTCTGAAGCTAGATCTTCAAATACCAGAATTTGTTGACATGACTCCAGTACTAAGAGATCAAGGCTCGAAATTCCTAGAATTAACCCCAGAGAAAAGCTACCAAATCCCAGAAACTCTAGAGTTGCTCTCTCAGTCACAGTCTCAAGTTAAGGATTTAGAGGAGTTATACACAAGCTCAATGCAGCAAGTTGTGGAATCTCAAGATATGACTCCAGAGCTCAAGCATCATGTTTCAGAAGCCATAGCACTGACCTCTGAAGCAATGCTGCAAGGTAAGGAATTCCTTGCAATGACCCCACAGCTGATAAGTCAAGCCACTGGATATACAGAGAGATTGCCGACATCCTATAATCAAGCCTTAGAACCTAAGCAAGTGCTCTCTGAGGGAAAACTTCAAAGGAAAGAAACTGTAGTACTGATTCCAAAGTCACTACATCATGTCCCAGATTCTACTTCAAGGATAACACTTAGGTTAGGACATCAAGTTCCTGAATCTGTGGAGCTGACTTCTGAAACAGGGCTGCAAAGAGAAGAACTTATGAAATCGACCTCAAAATCACAGCATCACATTGAATCTTCAGGGATAATACCAGGGTTAGGATATCAAGTTCCGGAATCTGTAAATTTGGCCTCTAAGCCTTGGTTGCTAACAGAGGGATCTTTAGAGTTGCCCCCAAAGCAAACATGTCAAGTTGTAGAACATGCAGAATGTGGAGAGTTTAGCCCTGAGAAATGGCAGCAAGAAGTATCAGCGGGGCAAGCAGAGTTACAGAATCAAAGTATGAAATATTTAGGTACAGCACCAGGACCACTGGGTCAAATAATACAATTTATAAGAATTAGTCCAAAGCCACTAGATCAAGTCACAGAATCTGTGAGGACACAGTTTCAAGTTGCTAAGTCAATAGGAGTGGCCCCACTAGCACCAGAAAAAGTTGTTGAGTCTGTGAAAGTGACCCCCGGGCCACCATTTCAAGTTGTAACATCTGTGACACCAGGAACAACTCCTCAAAACGTAGAATATGTTGAGTTGACTCCAAAACTGCAAGATGTGAGACCTTCAGAGTGTACCTCAAGGCTATGGTTGCAAAATGTGAAACCTAAGAAAATAACCACAACGCCAACACATCACATTTTGGAAACAATGGAGTTGACAGGATTTCGGTTAGTAAAGACTGTGTTAATCCCAGGACCACTTCTTCAGATTGTAAAATCTGAGAAAATAGCGCCAGGACCAACTCCTCAGGTTGTAGAGCCAATAGGAATAGACCTAGGATCAGGGATTGACATAATGAATTGTTCAGATTTATTACCAAAGTCACATCCTCAAGAACTAGTAGAACCTGTAAAATTAACTCCAAGGCCAAACAGTCAAGTGAAATCTGTAGAATTAACCTCAAAGCAGACATCTCCTTTTGAGGAACCTACAGTATTGACTCATAGACAAGGGCTTCAAGCTATGATATCTATAGGGAAAAAACTAGAGTCCCCTAAAGTCATGGAATCTGAGGATTTGAATCTTGAACAGGTGTGTCAGAATAGAGATTCTGAGGAGTTAACATCAAGAGAAGAGTTACAAGCAGGGAATCATTTCTCTGGGTTCTTACACAGCTCACCAACCCCACTCATTTCAAGCTCTGTCAAAACAACATCTGAATTAAGAGGACTTTGGGATTCTGGGATGCCAGAAGTATTAGGAGCTTTGGATATAAAAAACCTTGTGACTGATATTTTGCAGCCCAGAGAGTTCTATATAGACCCTCCTACAATACAGTCTTCAACCCTTCCCTTTACCCATGAATCATCTGATAAAACAGTTAACACTGTGGAAACACTATGTTCTGAAATCCCAGGAGTGGATGTCATATCTAAGGAAAGCACTAAACCGAAGGAGATGGAGGAACTAGAAAACTCATTCCAGAGCCTCTCCCGACATTCACCACAGAGCCAGAGATCATCATCTAGGACTTTCCAGGCAGGACCAGGGGCACAAAGAGGCCTTATGAAGTCCTTCCTGTGCAGGCAACAGAATGTCTGGGAGAGTCATGCATGGAGGCAGCGGCTGCCTAGAAAATATCTCTCTACTATGCTAATGCTGGGGAATGTCTTGGGGACTACTATGGAAAGGAAGCTTTGCTCACAAACAATTTTAGCAGAAAGAGCTACTGCAGATACCTGTCAGTCTATTCAGAATTTATTTGGGGTTCCAGCTGAACTGATGGAATTTTCCCACAGCCTGTTAGAGAAGGGTCCAAGTACTATTTCTCAGTCTTCAGTAATCAAAAACTACATTCAGAGGCATACTTCATGTCATGGCGATGAGAAAAGAATGACTTTAAGGATGTGGACACGTGGCTCTACATCTTCCATAATACAGCAATACTCTGGGATTAGAATGGGAATAAAGAAAAGGAACTCAAGGCTCAGTGATATATCCCAAGAAGTCATTCAGCACATGCCTGTCTCATGTGCAGGGAGACAGCTTCCTGACCCAGTAAAGTCAGAGTCTTCCCTCAGCATATTTTACAATAAGGAAGATCATGTTCCAGTGGAAGAGAGTGAGAACTCACAGAATGATTCACGGGCAAGGATTTTTGAGTCCCAACACGCTTTC